CCCTCGCCCCGCACCCCCTTCCCCCCCGGTCCCCGCTCCCCTCGGCGCCTCAGGTCCCGGGGCCGCCCCGGTCCCCGCGGCCGGAGGAGGCCGCCGCCGCTGCCCGCTCCCCACCTGCTGAGGTTGACGCCCATGGCGATGTTGCGGTCGCAGCGGTAGGTGTCGAAGCCCTCGGATCGCAGCGTGAGCTGCACCAGGGAGACGTGCGAGGAGTCCATGCTCTGCAGGCTGATGCCGCCCGAGCCCAGGTCCCAGCAGGCCTCGGTGATGAGGTCCTTGAGAGCCTCCAGCACCCGCTTGAGCACCGAGCCCTGCACCAGCCGCGCCTCGAACATCCTCACGGGAGCAGCGACCGCCCACACACGAACAACCGCGGAGCGCGACCGGCCACCGACTACCGCGGCCCGCCAAGCGCCCCTTTTATAGCCTTCCCGCGCCCCGCAGCCAATCGCCAGCGGCCCCGCCCTCCCCGCGAAACCCTATCCACGCCCACATGACAGATACCTCTCGCTCTCCGTCCAATCCCGCCGCCGCTCCTCCCCTTAATCCTGCCCCCTCGTCCGGCGGGAACCAATCGCCACGCGGGTTACACACTTCCCCCCGCCTCCCCGTACCCGTGGCGCCAGCCCGCCTCCCGCCTCGCCGTACGGCCATGGCCGGCGGGGGCCTAGCGGGGACGGCGGCTCCGGGAAGCCGCGCTCGCCCCGCGGCCCGGCTGAGGCGGCGTGGTGGGGGGCTCTCTGATCCCTGCAGCGCGTCCTCCGGCTGCGCCAGCGGGGGCAGCTCGGCGGGCTTCTCCTCAGAGGCCAGTTCCTGACAGAAACTCCAGGCCTTGAGTGAAAACCAAGCCGCAATCTCTTATTTCAGACGAATCCGCCACGCTTCTCCCCGCCCCCGTGAACTTCCCGCGCGCGGGGCTTTCCCGATCGCCAAGCGACACCGCCCACCCCGGGCGACACCAACGCACTTGCGCCCACCCAACATGGCGCCGGCGCGGTGGGGGGGGGGGAAGCTCACATCCGGGTACACCTGGGCGGGGCCAGAGTTGGGCGAAGCCCCGCCCCCCGCGTCCCTCTCCGCGCCGTCGATTGGGCGGCGGTAGCGGCGGCGCCTCGCTCTTTGCCGCCCCCTGGTGGCCGCGGCTCGGAGTGGCTCAACGGCGGCGGCGGC